TGCTTTTATTTTACATTTGATTTTCACCAGTCCAAGCTTAAGGATAGGATAGGATAGGTAATTTTTAAAACTTCACGTCATATTTTCAATTTTTATATACAACGAGTTCTGCATTTAAGATTTCTGTTAATTTGAGTGGTTCAATGTTAGTTTAGCATCCATTAACATAGAGCTCCCTACTATACGTATAATTCCCTATTAGCTTAAGTAGATGTATTTAGAGCAATAATTGATGGCCCTTTCACAACTTCAGGTTCTTATTTAATGATTAGTAAATCTTTTGTACTTTTATCACTATATAAGAAGGTTTATAATAGATTATCCGAATTAAGGTTTCTTAAGTTTTAAGTCTGTATTTGACTTCAAATTTTTTATTTACTGTCCTGTTTCGACAATATTAATTTCAAGTGGTGTGGATTTAAATCAATCGTTTTCCCTAAAATCTCTAACAGTGAAAATTCTGGAATTAATACCTATTAAAGTGCTGCTATATTTGGTGAGATATCAGCACTATCAAGTACTCTTCAATTCTACTCCCTAAGACAACGATGGGTTTAAATTCACACCATCTGAAATTATAAGCGTTTCGTAGGTATGGTCTATTGTTATTGTTTACATATTCTCGTATATACATATAACATTTTTTATATAGGATAAAATATAATTAAGAGTATTATCGCCTTTTTAAAATATTTTTAACAATTAGAAAAATTATATGATAATTCTTCATTCCAATTAGAACTATTATTTTTTGCTTTAGCACGACCCGTATATAACAAATTAAAATTTCTGATGTTTTTCAATAAAAAATAAAATCACAATAAAAGTTTGGTACTTTGTAATGTCAAATTGTAATTAATTAATTAATTTTTAATTTGTTTTCTGTTCAGCTTTTGGCATTTTCAATGTCAGACTTAATTACTTTTCACGTAATAAATGATGTCGACAATTTTTTTTTAAGTTTTTATTTCTGTGATTGGATTTTCTGTTACAATTAAAAACTAAAACCCCTATACATGCTTTCATTTGATTAAAATAATGCTAGTTTTAAGCTCATTTCATAATAATAACAGTTCTATCAGAAAATAATGCTAAATGTGTTGTAATTTGTTTAATGATAAAGGCCTCCCAATAACTTGTGTATGCAGATATTTTCAAGCTGGAAAGGTGAGGATTTCCATGTAATTTTTTGTTTTGTATACACTTCATGTCTTTATAATAGCGTAATTGCAGTATGAAAATCCCTGAAAATATTTTCGTATCAAAAACACCATTTTCTACTATGTTTTATTTTAAACTGTTGATATGTAATTCAATGAGGTGTAGGATTTGCAAGAGTACTAATTGCTTCATCTTTATTACAAATCATTAACATTGCATTAATCTAAGAATATTGCTTTCCCTGTAAATTTAGGAATAGTAATGACGTCCTCTTTCCTCTACTTTGTGACTCTGTGCTATTCATAAATGTTTTATTTACTATTTTGATACGACGAATTGTGAACATATCATTTGTAAACTTGTTATTTGTTCGAGGTTGAGTAAGTCTCTGATAGGATGGGTTGTGTATATAGCATTTGTATACTTATTCTTTATTCCAGGTATATTTTGTTTGTATCATCCACAGTTACCGTTTTCAGAAAAATCTTCGGAAGCGGAAGATTTTTCTGAAGATAGAATGGAGTTTCATATTAAGCTGTTTCCAGACGGTTTTTACCATTCTAAAAGTTTTATAGCTTTTTATCCGGCTTTTACATTTTTTTTAATGAACTTATTTAATTGTTATATATAAGATTGATTTAAGTGTCATTACTGTCATGGTAATAACAGTAGCCGCATATTTAGCAAACTCGTTACCTCAATACTTTCCACAGCTCTAAGTTTAACAATCAAGAACACATGAAATTTCCTCTTAATTTCTGCTGACTCTATGGATGACATTTCAATATAAAGTGCCATTGGTCCTTATTGCTATAATGTTTGTCTGATTATCGGCTCACTCATTAATTTGTACATTTACGTTAGTGTGTTCGGGTTAGACCATATATAATATAATATAATATAATAAACATTGCTAATTTATGATATATTACATGAAAGGTGGTATGTGATTTCTACCCACTGAAAAAATTGAAGATGCTATATTTTAGTATTAATCCTTAAGGCTACCATTTTTCTCCAAAAGTTTGTCATTTCATTATACTACTATCATAATCTAGTGCGTTAAATAATTAAAACTGTTCTGCCTTGATTTAGATTTCAGCGCTGTTAAGTACACAGATTTTCAAAGAGTAAGTTTAGATACTTTTGAGAGTAAATATCAGATTGGTTTGGTAACCGTTCATTATGCGAATAGCAATAGTTTACCACGTTTTTCCAATAATCTTAAGCATTCGGGTATTGCTCCCTTAGTTAGTTACCTAGATTAAACCGATATAAGAAAGAATTTTCATATATTTTTTAATTCAATGAAGCTCTTTGCGCAAATAAACGTTAAAACTTTATTCGTGAACTCTGTTTAAGCCTTAATAACAAATAATCCTTTCTTGTAGAAATTATTTAGAAAAGCAATTTTCATGTTTTTGTTCTGATAAATACTTCGAATAGAATAAAATCTTTTTTCTATTTACTTTGGGTTAAAAGTTTTGCTAAGATAATTTATAAAACCATTTATAGTAAAAGTTTTTACCATCACAATTGTACATTTTGATTAATTTTTTATATTGTAGGCAGCAAATCCGTATCCGCTTAAAACATTTTCATTTCCTGTCTATCGTATACACGTGGAGAGCTTAAATTATTAAAGACGCAGCTGCCGCTAACACCAAAATAATATTTACCCTTTCAGCAATACTACTTTTCTTGCCAACTTAACCTCACTTCTTCGTCTTTTCATCATTTTCTAATGAAGTCATTAGAGTGAGCAAAAATGGCGCAGGAAATTGATTATGACATGCCACCGAATTGCATAAAGGAAGGTAATTCCATAGTAAACGCGAACAAAAACTGCGTTGCCTGAGAATATTTACTAACTGCGGACCTTGAAACCATTTCACAAGAGTTTACAATATATCTCTGAGCAAGTTTACTTTTAGTTATTTAAATATATTTTACCTTACACCTCAAGAAATAATATTTGTGGTGGAAGTGTGCGTTCATTTATTATGTGACAGCTTAAAGTTTCTAAGCTTTAATGTCACTACTAACTAAATTAATTAATAATATGAAAGTACACTGTAAATTGGTTGTAACGATTAATTACCTCCGGATTGAATTTAACAAGGTAAATAACAATAACTTAATAATTAAAAAAATGTGTAAGTGTATTAGAGTTATGTT